ATCTATCTATCTATCTATCTATCTATCTATCTATCTATCTATCTATCTATCTATCTATCTATCTATCTATCTATCTATCTATCTATCTATCTAACTTAGGGGTGAAACGATACAGAAAATTCATGAAATGGTTCAGTTCGATACTTTAGTCTCGCGGTTCGTATTTTTTGGTACAAAAAGCAGAAATGTCCATGTCCTTTTTAACTCATAATTTATTGAAATTAATTATGAACATTTGTTTAACCTCAGAAGTACAGTTATTAAATTTAAATCTTGCTGAAAACAGCAAGTTTCTCAGTAAATCTGTGCTCGACAGTGCAGCCAAGGTGGAGCAGTTGAACACAAATCCACTGAGTCTTCAACAGAGCGCATCTTCAGAAGACAAGTTGATAAAATAAATTTTAAAAATCTGTATTGTTCAATACATGGTTTGTGTTGAACTTAGAGCACTGTATTGAATGATTCGACACACATAGGTGTATTGTTGCACCCCTACTCATCTACAAATGTATCCATTACGCAAGATGTATCATTTGAATGAAAAGGTGGTGCTGTCCTGTTTTATATCTTTTGTAGAGCAGTAAGTACAACTGAAACTGTATTTTATATAATTATAAGGTTTTGTATTTATAATTACAAAATTGTAAAAAAGAAAGAAAGAAAGAAACAAGCAGAAATTAAAAAGGAGGATTAAAATGGAGCATTTAAAAATGACAACGTTCATAAAAGTGTGCCAACAGTTTACCTGAACTAAAACACTTAACTTATTTTTGTGCAGTGTTTTTATTTTTATGGTTTGTTTTGATGAGTTCAGCCATCTTTATTACATATTACGATCCACCAGAGGGCAGCATTTATGTTGTATTTAATGAGAGTCAATTCTCCTGGTTGATGCATGCCGGAGAGAAAACTCAACATTTAGGCAGTCTCACACTGTTCATCCTTATTTTTATGGCTTCCACTATAAACAAGATAAAGTAACAGCTGGAAACAGAAGAGAAAAATCAATGCTTCTAAGCTTCTTTTTAGATAGTCAGGATTATCATACTATTAAAAAGATCTCATCCTCCTGAAAACAATACTTTACTCTGATGCCAACATGGCTCCAGTCTGTCTTTTGCTTTACCGTCACATTTAAACTATTCATTTATC